CAACTTTCCTCTTTTGATTGTCCATTATAAAATATCATGTGGGTTTATCACTGGAATACAAGGAGGTAACACGACTCCATGCTTTGCTGTCTTTGCATGATCTGAATAACAGATGTGCAATGATTAGTCACCAACAGTCTTTAAGAGATGTGATATCATGGATCATGGTGCACATCTGCTGTTTATGTAGTGATTTGTTGACTGAAGAGATAGCAGTGAAGTTGTACTTATGCAGTTACTCAGTTAATGTATTGTGATGATTAAAATTTGAACTGTGTTTTGGGGGACTTATTTAAACCATGGTTACTGGAATTCATGCATATCAGAAGAGTGCAAAGTGAAGACAACTGTAATTTATTTACAATTCGTATGTCCTAGGCATCTTTCCCTTTCTTTTCTTTCTCCTCCCTGCTCAAGATTATTCCACAGGGATTTTGGTCAGAGATATTTGGGCAGATGTTCCTGTAGGAATCATTGTTAGGAAATTCAAGGAAAAAAAATCTCCATCACCACAGCCTTGGGATTCCTATTAAGTCCTTGAATCCAGACTTGAGGACCAGCTTAATAATGAACGTAATTAGGCCATGAAAGTACATTTAAAAGAAATAATGAAACAGAGAGTTTCTTCATTGATTAGAAAAATCATTCTGAAGAAATGAAGACATATCCTAATTTGAGATATCATTGCAACAAATATCATTGCAAATAATCATTCTGTGACCGGGTTGATAGCCCCTAATAATAGGACTTTGTTACTAAGTTTACTGTGAATTCTGTTCAGTCACCTTGAACTCCCAGTGCCTTCCCTTGGTCCTGTCCACATAATCACATTCTGTTATTAAATGATGTGATCATGTGCTTGTTTTATTGTAGGCAGAATTGAACAAAACTATAACTCAGCATTTTACTCTTTTATAGAAATGTAGTTACTAATCTCTGACCCTTTCCAGATAACTCAACTTCCTCCATAAACTCCAAAATTGTGAAACCATCCATGAGACCAGGAAAAGTTTGGAGCCAAGAAAAGGAAGTTAGTCTGTTGGATATCCTCTTCCTTAATCTTTTATATTGAAAGAACGTGCTGCACAAAGCCTAGGCTCTTTTATTTCTAGTTCCTATAGACTGGGAATGTGATGTCTAGTCAGTGTTCATTGTACAAAATTGTTTCATCAGAGCAAACTGGGTAGTGTATGGAGTTTATTATAAAATTATTTTACTTGCCTTCTGGTAAGTAACCAGCATATAATTGGCATTAATGTTCGTTTTTTTTTCCAACACCACTTTCACAAAGCCTTAGAGTGTATGTGTTTTAAATGAATGTGCTAAATATTTGAAAAATAGTAATTTAAACAATTTTCAAAATTGATATTATAATTTTATGTAAAATGTTACCAGATGTGCTTTATTCTGCATTGAAAACAATATTGATTTTCGGTTCAACAGATATCAAAAAGATTCTAAAATTACTTTCCTGGAGTTATCAGAAAATAGCACTATAATAATGGAATCAAACACATTTCCCTTTATGATTTAGTCTTAATCTGATATGCATTATACCGGAAAGCCTTCCTGTCTCTCTGATCACTTACCAATTACTTGGTAAGGGACTCTCTAAATGTCATGTCTTTGAGCAGCTGTTGAATTCGTGGAGTTTTTGGGTTTTGTTGGGTGGACTGCAGTCTATATGGGCCTGTGTGGGCATGTCAAATCCAGCCTTGAGAGTATCTTGAAAACTTAACATGACAGATTTGATTTTATCCCCAAGTTGACTTAGTAATTTCACTAGATTTCATCAATCCCAACCTACATTTCTTTCAAATCTTATATGTGCTTTCTATCAGTCACAAAGAGAACAAAAAACCTTATTTTCTATTCATAACATTAGCTGTTTCTTCAGGTGGCTAAAGGGACATGTCATTGCTTTACTCACATGAATTTGAAAGATTAAATACATAAAGGATCATTCTTAGACTGGAGTAGGTCCTCACCTTCTGTTTAACTGGGGAGGAAGATCTGCAAGTAAAGCCCCCAACCCTCAAAGACACATATTCACCTATTAGAATGTAAGGGCCTTGAGGGAGGCCTTGTGTTTGCCATTTTTGTTCACTGTCAGACTTGGAATAGTGAATGTCACATAGATTGATAGTGCTCAATCAATTATTGTTTAGTAAAGTAATCTACTTGTTCTGTGATTTGGACTAATAAAAGGGACTGGTACATTGTAGGTACACAGTAAATATTCATAGAACAAATGAATGAATCAACCCAACACATTTCTAAGAAGTAGCCTGCTAGGTCTAATTTTTTTATGGAAGCTATAAAAGGGAAAATTTTAGAATTCCTAATTTGTTCAGAAAAATGTTATATTGTCTCCCATGATATTTGGTATTTCTATGTCAGGCATATTGTTTTTGTTGTTAAAAATATAAATACTATTATTCTTCATATGTTTTATTTTGTGTATTGATTTCAGTAGTTTTAGCTGAGGGGAATCTTTAAAAGCAGGCAGATTGTCTTGCCAAGCAGCTGAAAAATCATACCAGGAAGTTTGATAAGAGACTGCTGTTAAGAACACATTAAATTATTTTTATCTTAATGTTAAGCATTTGGGGAATTACTTGAATTTATTTTTGTTGTTGTTGCATTTAGTGTTTTGATGTTTGATAAATAAGGATAAATCCATTTATTAAAGGACAATAAAAGTTCACCAGTAAAAGGTCCTTGAGATTGTTTGGTTCTGTGGCATCTATATCAGATTCCTTGCCTGGTAGCAACACCAAGAAAATTGACAACTGGGCTAGCAACAAGATACCTATCCCTCACTTGCTTAAATGTAGGCAATATGAGCAAAGAAAATGAGCCTAAAGAAACTCTTTCAGAAGGTTCACTAAAAGAAACCATGGAGATACTTTTTCATTGCCTGTGATTACTTAAGTAGACCTAACTTATACAAGTTAAATATCTTTATCCAAAATACTTGGGACCAGAAGTATTCTGGATTTTGGATTTTTTCAGATACAAGATGCTCAACCTGTATATTTGTTGGAAATGGCTGCTTAATGTAAGGATGAATTTAGGTAGCCTTGAAAATAAATAGTAGTTGAACCAATCAACAGGAACTAAAGCTATCTCCAACACATAGTGTACTTATACTCCAAGAGAACACCATCGATAGTAGTATTTTTTGGTATTTTATTTTTGTTGCTATTGTTGGCATTATTTTCTCCTATAGCAGCTCTTCTAAGCCTGAAGAGGTGGAATTTTATATGAGATTCAAACTCTTATTTTTTTTAAGAATAACATAAGTCAGCCTTTTGCATGAAATTTTACTGTATTCTAAGGCGAATTCTTGTTGCTTGATCTTAGTAGCTCTTTTATGTGTTGAATTAAACCTGAAAGAGTCTCTTATGAATGATTGATTTTGAGGTACGTTTGACAGAACTTCAATTTTATAACCTCTTGCAGAACTTTCAAATTCTGTTTAGATAACAATATACATAGAATTTAAATGGAAAACATGATGTATGTCTAGAGAAAATTTCTTTTTCTGTGTCTATTGCCTTTTGTGACCCATACATTCAATTTCATTCTGCCTAGTATTTGAGCCTAGAAAACAGGAAAGCTGTGAAAACTCTGTGCCTTATAATAAGACAGGGATATGACTGACTAGGAGTTACATAAGCTCCAAGGCTGGGTGGAGGTAACATATCAAATAAAAATTGGGAAACTTGCCATCTGAGGTTTTCTGATTAATGTGGATTTCTCTTTTCTGTTTAATGTGAATTTCAGTTATTCAGCTTCAGGATTGGTTATTTGTTGCTTAGGCCTTATTCTCCCTCTAGACTAAAATTGAGGTTATAATCTAAAATATGGGTAGGTGGAGATTCAAAAACTCTTCAGTTGCCTATAGTATACCTTAATGGTCATGGTCATTTAGGGGCTTATTTGTTGTTTTTACTATATTTAATCTGTCATTTTAGCAGATGAAAATTGAATGCTAAATATAACATTTAAAAATATTTCCCCCCTCATGACAGTTGCCCATTGATTACTGGGGTGGAGAATTCCATGTATGGAAGGAATACAGCAGAATTTCAGTCACAGACGCTGTTTCTCTCTGCTATTCAATTTGCTTTTAGGTTACATTTAACAACTTTCTGGATAAAAATTAATTTCAATATTAACCAAAACAAAAGAAATAATATTTTTAGGCTTATCCATTACATCATTCTTTCAAGAAAGGTACTAGATACTTGACAATAGTTCTAGCATTACAAACAGTAATATGTATGATGAATTCTATAGAGTCTCTGTAGTTTATTTTTATTAAAATATTGTAGTTGAACAATTTAAGCTTTTTTCTTCCTTAGGATTTCACAAGAGTGTGCTTTGGCCGATGTTTGACGTTTATTCTATCCTCTTTCTCAAAACAAACTATCCAGATTTCCATGTAAGGTGGAACAAAGTTCTCTTTTTCTTGATATTGTTAAATAACCAGTTATTTCCCATCAGCATGATGTACCTCAGTGTTGTATTGTTGTATTGTCATTCTGGGGTGATTTTTTCTCATCAGGGGAGGTTGGCATTGCCTGGAGACAGTTGATTGACATAACTGGAGGCTATTACTGGCATCTAGTATGGAGAGGCCAGGGATGCTGCTGAACATTCTGTAACGCGCAGAGCAGCCCCCTGCACAAAATCTTATCTAGCTGAAAATGTTAATAATGCCTCAACTGAGAAAGCCTGATACATAGGACTTCATTCTTTAAAGTGCAAGGGACAAAGGCGTCATCTGTAAATTTAGCATCCATGTTTATACTGCCATGACCTTGTCCATTTACTTATGAAAAAGATGTGAAGTGACTTGATGGTATGAAAGAGTTGTTCCTCAGAGGTAAGTCAGTTATGATAAGTGTGCCAGTTTGTCTCTGTACCTTATAAGTTACAAAAATGAATTCACTTCTGATTGAGTTGATGTAATTCTTTGTGTTTTTTTTAAGCACTTAAATATAAATCCAGTCATATGGATGAGATAACCATTGCTGTGCTTGTTGTTGGACTAGTAACCACTGCAGTAATCATTGTTGGAGCCATTCTTTTCGTCCCAGGTAAGATGTGCAGTTGCTGGGAGGGAATGTAGGATGTAGATGAGTGTTCCAAGGGGAAGGGTGTTAGTTTCCTACGACTGCTGGAACAAATTACCACAAATTAGGTGGCTTAAAACAACAAGAATACTCTTGCTGCTCTGGAGGCCATAAGTCCTAAATTAGGGTGTCGTCAGGACCACACTCCCTCTCAAGACTCCGGGGCAGAATTCATTCCTTGCCTCTTCTAGCCTCTGTATTTGCTGAGGAATGCCCATCCCTGGCATCCTTTAGTCTGCGGCAGCGTAGCTCCAATATTGGCCTCTGTGGTCGCGTTGCCTTCTCCTCTAGCCTTGTCTTCACCTCTGTGTGGTTGTTTTTTGTTGGTTTGTGTTTTGTTTTGTTTTAGGGGTTTGTTTGTTTGGTCAAATCTCCTTCTGCTTCTCAATTAGAGCCCACCCACAGAATCCAGGATAAGCTCTCCTTTCCGAGGTCTTTAACTTAATCACATCTTTTGCCATGTAATGCAATACTTTTTTGCTATATGAGGTAATATTCACAGGTTCTAGGGATTAGGAGATGGAAATGTCTTTAAGGCCACCATTCCACCATTCCTACAGAGGCACACTTCAGTGTACGAGGACATGGAATGGAACTAGATTTGTTGGAAATGGCAGTTGCATTTGAAGGAGGGGAGTGGGGCTGGGAAATAAGGGTGTATAGCACATGAAAAGAAAAGCAAAGAAAGCCCAGGACTTAAAGTGGTAGGCTGTAGTACACCATTGTTGTTTTTAGAGAAGTGTGCAGTACAGGTGTAACATGTAGGGACATAAATTTGGCAGCTCTATTTGTCTCTGGAGTTAGTGAGGACATGAGGTGGAAGGAGGTGAATTCAGAAGACAACTTGAAAGAACAATTAATTTGACTTTGGGACATACTGAATATGGCAGATGAAGGGAATGGTAGAAGATGACTACAAAGTTCCTCATCTGAAATTCTGTAAGATAGTGAGGAATGAAGTAAAGCCAATCCAAGCTTTCGACATGTTGAGACTTGCATGTCTTAAGTTTGGTCTTAAATAATCAAAAAATAAGCACTTATTTTATCTGAAGCTCTGGGGGAAACATATTATTTTTAAACCTTTTAGTTTATAAGAGTATTATTGAGATTAGTACATTTAATAAATTAAGTACTTTAGCTTCCTGAAGAGTAGAAAATATGTAGGAAAATATTTTAAATATTTTTATTTATTAACAGGTGAATATTCAATAAAGAATGCTACTGGACTTGGTTTGATTGTAGTTACTACCGGGTTATTATTATTACTTCACTACTATGTGTTTAAAACAAGTGAGTATTTGTTATTACTTTATGATTTTGCCTACAGTTTTCATTTAAAAATGTCACTTTTGGTGTAAATAGTCTTATATGGATTTCTTTTTACAACTCAATGAATACTTTGTCTTGAAAATCTTTTATTAAAAGATTTTCCATGCTATTCTTAGTGACATTTTTCCATTCAGATTAATTTTAAGGTTATCCTAGGTCTTGAAGGCATTCAATTATTTTGAAAAAAGTGATTTTCATATGCATTTTATACTGGTCAGCATAATTTTAAATTATTTTATATAATATCTTAATAATTATCTTCATATTCTAATTTTAGTTTTTTTGAATTTATAAGTAGAAATTAAATACAGCCTTTCTCTTCTTTTGCTAAGCCTATTCATTAAACAGACAAGTTCTATAAAATGGGGTTATAAATCACAAATAGTAGAAACATATTTTTTTTAGTTATTAGCAAACCTTGACACTTTAGTTTCAAAAGATGGTATAGCTATCCAAACTATAATTAGTATGATTTTTACTGCATTTTGAAAGTAAATCACTAACATATGTTTGTTAGTTACATTTAACACTTGATCTTAGGGTCTATGTCTGACTTACTGTACATCAGAAAGGTATTGATTTGTTATAAAATTACAGATCTTCTAGATGCACAAGATAGTCTAATGTTTTCAATCACATGTTTGCATGATGATTCTCTCCACCAAAGCAATTCTGTGTGCATGTGAAGAAGCCACGCATAATAGCCATCCCAATTGCAAAATGTACAAGGGTGGTAAAAGCAGCATTGTTCTAAGAGTTGGGGTAAAAACTGCCAGTCCAGCTTAGCTGACTGTGAAAATAGAAGGCTGCTGAATGTGTGACTTTGGATCTGACTACTTGTGTGAAGGGTTAGGTCGCTGGAAAAGCATCTTCTATCTGACAGGGAACTCCAGAGTTGGTCTTCAGTCATAGGATATTCCTGATTGCACCAAATGCAAATAGGAGTGATCGCTTCTTAAATCCTCTGAACATACTTCTGTTTAATCCTTTTCCTTCCCCCAGCAATTGGGATTCCCTCCTTCGTCATCGCCATATTGGTTATGCAGCTGCTGGCCTATGTACTCGCTGTGGTTGGGTTGAGTCTCTGTATTTCGGGTAAGAGTCACATCCTTCTATAGTCCCGATTTGGATTACTATTGGGCAGAGCTCTTCTTTCTTTTCCTTGTTCTTTATTTCTTTTTCTTTTAATATATAGACTTTATTTTTTTAGAGCAGTATTAGGTTCATAGAACACTTGAGTGAAAAGTACAGAGAATTCCCATATACCCCACCCCCTCCTTACACCCTCCAGCCACAGCCTCCCTCAGGATCCTCCACCGGAGTAGCACGTTTGTTACAGTTGATAAACCAACATTGACAACATCATTGTTGCCCAAACTTCATAGTTCACATTAGGGTTCACTTACGGTGTTGTATGTTCTATGGGCTTTGACAAACGTATGGTGACATGTGTCCACCATTGTAGTATCATACGGAATAGTTTCATTGTCCTAAAAATCGCTTGTGCTCCCCTATTCATCCCTCTCTCTCCCCAAACCCCTGGCAACACTGATCTTTTTACTGTGTCCATAATTTTGCATTTTCCAAAACGTCTTATAGTTGAAGTCCTACAGTATGTAGTCTTTTCAGACTGGCTTCTTTCACTTAGAAATATGCATCTGAGTTTCCTCCATGTCTTTTCGTGGCTTGATAGCTCATTATTTTCTAGAGCTAAATAATATTCCATTGTGTGAATGTGCCATAGTTCGTTTATGTATTCACCTATTGAGGGACATCTTGATTGCTTTCAGTTTTTTGTGACTATAAATAAAGATGCTATAAACATCCATGTGCATATTTTTGTGTGGATATAAGTTTTCAACTCCATTTGATAAATACCAAGGAGTGCTATTACAGTATGTTAAAAGTATGTTTAGTTTTGTAATAAACTGCCAAACTCCCTCTATCAAAATGGCTGTACCATTTTTGCATTACCATTACCAATGAATGAGAGTTCCTGTTTCTCCACCTACTTGACAACATTTAGTGTTGTGAGCTTTCTTTTTAAACTAAGTTTTCCTGCAGTAAGAATAGTACTTTCCATGTTGCAATGAGCATAGTGTGTGTGTGTATGTATATATATGTATATACACATATGTATATACATATATGTATATATGTGTATACATATATGTATATATGTGTGTATGTATATGTGTGTGTGTGTATATATATATACATATATATATATACACACACACACACACACACATATGGTTTGTGGGCTGATTGTTTGAGCAGCCAAACTGCTATGCCTATATTTGAGGAAGAACTTTTGAAATCATCAGGATCCAATTGGTTGGAGCATTAGATTTTACACACTGTTCCTCATTAGTCTTGGTATGCTAAGGTATGTGCTATGCAAAGATGGGCTTTTTTTCTTAAAATAATTTGGAGTCATTTCACTGGCTGAGTTAATAATAATAAACATTTATAGATAATTTTTGTTTTTTGACCTTTAGAAATATAATTATTCTCCTTAAAACTTTTTATTACTACTATTATTGTTGATTTCTTTTAAAAGTTTAGTTATTTCTTACCTATTTCTAATACAAAATTGTGTTTGTTTTTACAGCATGTATACCAGTGCATGGCCCTCTTCTGATCGCAGGTTTGATTATCTTTGCTCTAGCACAATTACTTGGACTAGTTTATATGAAATTTGTGGGTAAGTCAATCTTATTTTTGTTAGCCTATGCTAAGAATTTCAGATATGTAATTTGGAAAATCCTTTTTATTTGGTTTTTCCAGTTTAGGACAAAAGAAATGTATTGATAATCCCCCCAAATGAGAAAATATAGTTGGAATGATTTGAGGGTAATTAAGGAGGGTAGAAGGCATATGAACTGATAAAAAGTTCAGATTATTAACTAATTTAAAGGAAAATGGCTTTATATGTTAGAAATGTGTAGATTTGTTTATTCTAAGTAAAAGGGGCATTATTTGAAACTCCATCTTAAGTAATAGAAAAGTATGTTTAATTATTATTTCTATCATAGAGCTCTCTTACAGAGACCTGTTTGTCACTTGCTCTTGTTTTTGCACTGTTTATAAACATGGATGCCCCTAAGTAGACAGGAATTGAAATTCAAAATCAATCACTTTTGTTCATTTAAAGAGCAGTAACCCCCCGTGCATGACTTTAAAACATTTCTAGGTAAAACCAATATAATAAAAACATTGAGTTTTACAATTTACTACTTTTAAAATCAGTTCTTAGCATAGAATTCACTTTATCATTTATAACCTTTGTATTTAATCTGCCAATTTTCATGTAACAAGTTTTTGCATAAATTCCTATTTTTGACATGTAGAGACAGATGCTATTAACAGTGCCTGGAACTTGTTCCCTATAATCTGATTTATACTGGTCTCCCACCTTAAAAAATTCTTTTTATTTATGAAATTAAAGCAAAATTACAAATTAATGGATTAAAACAATACTCTTTCTTCTTTGCTTTCGGTGAATTTTACCGTATGTGTTTCTAAAAAGTAATGCAAAACTTAAATTGTTATAGTCAAATAGTTTCCCATATGACTTTTGTAATACTTTCAAAGAAATTTTACCTATATTTCTGAATTTTAGTTCTTAGTGTCTGATAATTAAGTTTGATTCTGTTATATATTCTCTGTCTCCCTTTAATTAATGCTTATTAGATAAATAATTAAAATACTTAACCAAAATCTACCTATCTTCAGTTTGTGTTCATAAATGTTAGTTGTATCTCAATGAAATTTTTTAAGTTTATGCTATGTAAGTCAATGCAACATGATTAAAACATTTAAAGAAGAATGGTATTCATGGGGTAGCTATAGTGAGCATCTTAAATGTTGATGCATATTCTACTTTTGTTGAGTCTTCTAATCATCATATGTCTTGTCCTTGAAGATGATACTGCTGATTTTGTTGCTCCCCATGAATGCCTGAGCACAATATGTGACCTACAGTATTCACACAGCTCTGTAGGAGGAGTATTAGATGTCTTTGACAAATGGGCATCCTCACTATCAGGATTTCCCTTTACTCCCATCCCCCCCACTATGCCTTCCGTTATCTGGCTAAGAATGATATTCAGTACAATCGCCACCAAGTCTGGTGACGATGTCTCATATGGAACTCAGCATTGTCTGGCTACTACCCCCTTAACCTCACTCTCCTGCTATCTCCATAGCTTCCATACCCAAGAAGCCAGTGAAACCACTGTAATTGCAAATGTCACTGTTCTGACATTAAAATTAAAATGAAAGTGAAATCCCAACAAGTACCAAAAATTATTTTTTCTGTATTATAGATTAGCATATAAGTATACTATATGTAAGTTAAAAATTTAGTCCAATTTTATTGGCATTTTGAAAATAGCCTAAATTAACTTTTCAAATCAACTTGTCTGATGTCAGAGTTCAGAGGCACACCACCGGTCAGTTGAAAGGCAAGAAGAGACAAGGTACAGGAAAGTTGCTCTTTAGGTAATGTAGTAGACTAGGAAAATTAATATGTTTATTATATAATCTAACTGTGTAAATCTGAATACCTGTAACATTAAGGTTGCAAATTTGAGCATTTGTATCAGGAAGTGAAAATTGTAAACGTTTCCACATTGAAGATGTTCTGTTTTAGAAAAGCCTAATGATTGTTTCTTGATTTAAGTGCAATAAAATTCTCAGATAGTTAAAAAAAAACCAAAAAAAAAAACCCAAGCTCTGTATTCAACAGTAAGTTAATGTTACTTTGAGAATTTTAACTTTTATAATTTTCATCATTTCCAAGTTTAAATTTGTAGCCTTGATTGTTATTGTTTCAAAGAGTAGGATTTTAACTTTTACTTTTTATGGCCTTCTTTATTGACAGTATTAGAGTTTTTTTTCTTTTTACTGGAAGATTTTAATTTTATAAAATGAGATAAGAAGCTGGGAACAATAACTTAATGTTAGAGCATATAAAAGATTATAAGAAACTAAACTCAGTAAAGTTGGGCTTGTTGTTTATATAGGACATTTATATCCATTATTTATAAGAGTCGATACTTATTCATTTTTTAAAGCTATTACCAGTTAATTCAGTATAAGGGCATATAATAGTGTTTTGCTACAAATCAACCTAGTAGCAGTCAGAACCATATTTACCACAATATCTCATATTTTAGAATAATGCCATATATATTCAGAGATATTTTGTTTTTTTTTAAATTGTATAAATCCTGTAATTTTTATTATCTATATCATATTCCATTGGTGGACATAATTAACTATTCCCAATTATCTTTTTTTTTCCTTTTTATTTATGTAAATGTATGGGTACATGTGATGTTTTGTTACTTGCATAGATAGCTTAGTGATCAGGTACACTGTACCTATTAGCCCATTTCTCATCATCCTCCCCCTTCCTTCCCTCATTCTTCTGAGTCTCCATTATCACTCCACTCTCTGTGTCCATCTGAACACATCTCTTAGCACCCACTTATGAGAGAGAATGTGCGATATTTGTCTTTCTGTTCCTGGCTTATTTCACTTAAGATAATGACCTGCAGTCCCATCTGTGTTGCTGCGAAAGATATGATTTAATTCTCTTTTATGATGGAATAGTATTCCATTGTGTATATTGACTACATTTTCTTTATCCATTCATCTGCTGATGGATGCACAGGTTGATTCCATATCTTTGCTATTGTGAATACTGCTGCAATAAACATACAAGCACAGGTTATCTTTTGGATATATTGATTTCTCTTCCTTTGGGTAAATACCTAGTAGTGGGATTGCTGAATTGAATGGTAGTTCTATTTTTAATTCTTTGAGAAATCTCCATACTGTTTTCCATAGAGGCTGTACTAATTTACATTCCCAACAACAGTTTATAAGAGTTCCTTTTTCTCCACATCCTTACCAACATCTACTGATTTTTGTCATTTTAATAATGGCCATTCTGACTGGGATATCTCTTTGTGGTTTTGATTTGTATTTCTCTGATTATGAGTGATGTTGAGAATTTTTTCATATACCTATCAGCTCTTTGTATGTTTTCTTTTGAAAAAATGTATTCATTTCCTTTGCCCACTTTTTAATGGGATTTTCAGGGTTTGTTGTTGTTGTTGTTGAGTTGTTTGAGTTCCTTATGTATTCTGAATATTAGTCCCCTGTCGAATGAATAGTTTGCAAGTATTTTGTTCCATTCAACAGGTTGTCTTTTCACTCTGTTGAATATTTCTTTTGCTGTGCAGAAGCTTTTTGGTTTAATTAAGTCCCATTTGTCTATTTTTATTTTTGTTGCCTGTGCTTTTGAGATCGTGATTGTAAATTCTTTGCCTAGACCAATGTGCAGAAAAGTTTTCCCTGGGTTTTAATCTAGTATTTTCATAGTTTTAGGTCTTATATTTAAGTCTTTATTCCATCTTGCATTGATTTTTGTATATGGTAAGAGACAGAGATCCAGTTTCATTCTTCTGCATATGGCCATCCAACTTTCCCAGCACTTTTCATAGAAGAGGGTATCCTTTCCTCAATGTATGTTTTTGTTGGCTTTGTCAAAGATTCACCACTGTAAATATGTGGCTTTATTTCTGAGTTCTCTATTCTATTCCGTTGATCTTTGCCTCTGTTTTTATACCAATACGATGCTGATTGGGTTACTGTAGCCTTGAAATTAATTTCAAGTCAGGTAATATGATACCTCCAGCTTTGTTCTTTGTACTTAGGATTGCTTTGGCTGTTTGGGCTCTTTTTTGATTCCATATAAATTTTAGGATTGTTTTTTTCTAATTCTATGAAAATGATGTTGGTATTTTGATAGGGATTGCATTGAATCTGTAGATTTCTTTGGGTAGTATGACCATTTTAATGATATTAATCTGATCCATAAGCATGTGATGTTTTTCCATTTGTTTGTGTCATCTTCAATTTCTTTCATCAGTGTTTTGTAGTTTTCTTTGTATAAATCTTTCACCTACTCAGTTACACTTAATCATAGGTGTTTTTGTGTGTATGTGTGTGGGGGAGGAGGGGTTGTTGTGGGTTTTTTTGTTTTTGTTTTGGGGGTTTTTTGCTATTGTAAATGGGATTGCCTTCTTGATTTCTTTCTCAGCAAGATCTTTACTGGTATATGGAAACACCAGTGATTTTTGTGCGTTGATTTTGTATCCTGAAATATTAAGAGTTTTTTGATTGAGTCTTTAGATTTTTCTTGATATAGGGTCATATCATCAATAAACAGGGAAAATTTGACTTCCTATTCTCCAATGTGAATGCCTGTTATTTCTTCTTCTTGCCTCATTGCTCTGGCTAAAAGTTACAGTACTATGTTGAATAGGAGTGGTGAAAGTGAGCATCCTGTCTTGTTCCACTCCTTAGGGGAAATGCTTTCAGCTTTTCCCCATTCAATATGTAAGCTTTGGGTATGTCATGTAGGGCCTTTATTATCTTGAGGTATGTTCCTTTTGTGTCTGATTTGTTGACGGCTTTCATCCTGAAGGTGTGCTGAATTTTATCAAATGCTTTGTCTACATCTTTTGAGATGGTCATATGGTTTTTGTTCTTGATTCTGTGTATGTGATGTATCGAATTTATTAATTTGCATATGTTGAATCATCATTCCATCATTGGTATAAAACCATCTTGATTTTATATTGTATTATCTTTTTGATGTTCTGTTGGATTCAGTTTGTTAGTATATTTTGTTGAGGGCTTTTGTATCTATGTTCATCAGGGATATTAGTTTGTAATTTTCTTTTTTTTTTCATGGCTTTGTCTGGTTTTCATATCAGGATGGTGCTGGCCTCATAAAATGAGCTAAGGAGAATTGATTTTTTAGAACAGTTTTAAGAGGATTGGTGTTAGTTCTTCTCTGTATGTTTGGTAGAATTTGGCTGTGAATCCATCTGGTCCTAGGCTTTTCTCTGTTACTACTGCTTTGATCTCATTACTTGTTATTGGTCTATTTCTTCCTGGTTGAATCTTGGGAAGTTATATATTTCTAGGAATTTATCTGTTTCCTCTAGGTTTTCTATTTTTCTGAGTACATCGTAATTCATAATAGTCTCTGATGATCTTTTGTATCAGTGTAGTATCAGTTGTAATGTCTCTTTTTTTCATTTCTGATTTTGTTTATTTGGTCTTCTCTCTTCTTGGTTAGTATAGCTAGTGGTTTATAAATTTTGTTTATCTTTTCAAAGAGCAAAGTTTTCATTTCATTAATCCTTTGTATTGTTTTATTAGTTTCTGGTTCATTTAGTTCTGCTCTGATCTTTTTTATTTATTTTGTTATGCTAATTTTGGGTTTGGTTTGTTGTTTCCTAGCTCCTTGAGGGTGTTGTTGGATTGTTAATCTTTCTACTTTTTTGATATAAGCATTTATAACTATAAGCTTCCTTTTAGCACTGCTTTTACTATATCTGACAGTTTTGGTATGGCATGTTTCCATTTTTATTTGTTTCAGAATTTTTTTTTATTTCTATCCTCATATCTTCATTGACTCAATAATGGTTATTCAGGAGCATATCATTTAATTTATATGTATTTGTGTAGTTTCTGAAGTTCCTCTTTGTATTGATTTATAGTTTTATTCCACTGTAGTCTGAGAAAATACTTGATATGATTTTGATTTTTAAAAATTTGCTGAGAGTCATCCTGTGGCCTAACATATGATCTCATCTTGGAAAATGTTCCATGTACTGATGACAAGAATGTATATTCTGTAGTTGTTGGGTAGAATGTCCTATAAATGTCTGTTAGGTCCATTTGGTCCAAAGTTTAGTTTAAGGCTGGGTGCGGTGGCTCACGCCTGTAATCCTAGTACTCTGGTAGGCTGAGGCAGGAGGATCGCTCAGAGTTAGGAGTTGGAGACCTGCCTGAGCAAGAGTGAAACCATGTCTCTACTAGAAAGAAATTAGCCAGACAACTAAAAATGTATAGAAAAAATTAGCTGGGCATGATGGTGCATGCCCATAGTCCCAGCTATTCAGGAGGCTGAGGCAGAAGGATTGTTTGAACCCAGGAGTTTGAGGTTACTCTGAACTAGGGTGACACTATGGCACTCTAGCTTGGGCAATAGAGTAAGACTCTATCTCAAAAAAAATAAAAATAAATTTTAAAAAATTTAGTTTAACTCTAATATTTCTTGATTTTCTGTCTAGATAATCTAATATGGTGAGTGGTATGTTGAAGTCCCCCACTATTATTGTATTGTAGTCTATCTCTCTCTTTAGGTCTAGTCATATTTGTTTTATGAATCTGGGTGCTTGGATCCACGTATATTTAAAATTATTATATCCTCTTTTTAAAATTATTTACTGTTTTTGACTCAAAGTCTGTTTTATCTGATATAAGTATAGCTACTCCTGCTCACTCTTGGTTTCAATTTGCATTGCATATCTTTTTCCACCCCTTTACTTTCAGTCTATATGTGACTTTACAGATGAGGTACATTTCTTATAAGCACCATGTAGTTGGATCA